GCAAGAAAATTTTCAGAACTGAAGATGTGATGTTCTACATAGAATCCATTGTGTCCTGTACAATAAAATTAAATACATAATGTCCATTATCATGAAATTTGAAAACATTGTAAATTAAGAGATCTTAAAAATCTTTGGAAAGAGAAAAAAAATATCCATGTACAAAATGTAAACAAATCAGAATGACATCAGATTGCTTAATAGCAATATCAGAGAAAGATGGTAGAATTGGAGCATTGCCTTCAAAATTCTAGCAGAAAATTATTTTCAGTTTAGGTTTCTATGCCCAGATAAACTATAATTGTATGTGTAGAATAATGACATTTTTCAGAATTCTCAGGTCTCAAGAAACATTTGCTTGTCATGCAAATTTTCTCTGTAACCAATTGGAATATATGCTCTACCTAGATGACCTGGAAATATAGGATCCATCACATAAAGAAGCAAAAGGAATTCCCAGATCATGGTGAAGGAAGTTAATCAAAACAACATTTGGGCAGTAATACTATAGAGCATTCATCCAGATGTAAGCAGCAGGTAGAGGGTGCCAGGAGGAATGCAAATGGAATTGGCAGATTACCTGGGTACTTAACTATAATGAGGAATTCAACAGCTCTCTCAGAAAGTCTGGATAAGGAATTAGTAGGAACTCTGGTAGCATAGTGCCTGAGATGCTTGACTGCTAACCAGAAGGCTGGTGGTTCAAACCCAGCAGCCACTCCTTAGAAGGAAGGTTGGGCAATCTACTTCTGTAGTGATACTGCCTCAGAAACCCAAGGAGGGGTAGCTATGGGTCGAATTCGACTCAGCAGCAAATAACTACAGCATGATAGGCACAGAGAAAAGTAAGCAAGTGATAGGTACATAGAAAGCTAGGTGAGTATTATCTCTAAGAAAATTTAAAATTTGTGTAAGAATAGAATTACAATGTTAGAACACTTTGTAGATTATCTGTGAAAAATATATAGTTATAAATTTAAAAAAAAAATATATATATATATATATACAAACCCATTGCCATTGAGTTTGATTCCAACTCATAGTGACCCTATAGGACCAGGTAGAACTGCCCCATAGGGTTTCCATGGCTGTAAATCTTTATGGCAGCAGACTGACTCATCTTTCTCCCAAGGAACAGCTGATAGGTTCAAACCACCAGTCTTTTGGTTAGTAGCCAAATGCCTTAACCACTAGGCTATTAGAGCTCTTTTATACTAAATAGTTATCAAAACTTTTAATATAAAGACAGGAAGCACATCATACTGATGTTATGTTATTTAAGTAGATTGGGGAAATGGGGCAACAGAAATCATGGTGGTGATATTAAAAAGCCACGTCCGTCTGCCTAAAGTGAGAAGGCACTAGAAAATAGACAGCTGTTGCTGTTGTTAGGTGCCATCAAGTAGGCTCTGACTCACAGTGACCCTATGTACAACAGAAAGAAACAATGACCAGTCCTGTGCCAGCTTCACAATACTTGCTATACCTGAGCCCATCGTTAGAGCCACTGTGTCAGTCCATCTCACTGAGGGCCTTCCCCTTTTTTGTTGACCCTCCACTTTACCAACCATGATATCCTTCTCCAGGGAATGGTCTCTTCTGACAATATGACCAAAGTAGGTGAAATGAAATCTGGCCATTCTCACCTCCAAGGAGTATTCTGGCTGCACTTCTTCCAGGACAGATTTGTTAGTTCATTTGGCAGTCCATGGTACTCTCGATATTCCTCACCAACACCACAATTCAAAAGCATCAACTCTTCTTCAGTCTTCCTTATTCCTTGTCCAGCTTTCACATGCATAGAGGCAATTGAAAATACCATGGCTTGGGTTAGGGGGACTTTAGTCTTCAAAGAGACATCTTTGCTCTTTGCCACTTTCAAGACATCTTTTGCAGCAGATTTGCCCAGTACAATATGTCATGTGATGTCTTGACTGCTGCTGCCACTGGTGTTGATTGTGGAACCAAGAAACATGAAATCTTTGACAACTTCAGTCTTTTCTCCATTTATCATGATGCTGCTTATTGGCCCAATTGTGAGGATTTTCATTTTTTTTATGTTGAGTTGTAATCCATACTGCAGCCTGTAGTCTTTAATTTTCATCAGTAAGTGCTTCAAGAACCTCACTTTCAGCAAGCAAAGTTGTGTCATTTTCTGCTTATCACGGGTTGTTAATGAGTCTTCCTCCAATCCTGATGTCACACTCTTCTTTATATAGACTTCATATAGACTTCTTGGATTATTTGCTCACCATACAGATTGAATAAGTATGGTGAAAGGATACAATCCTGATGCATTCACTTCCTGATTTTAAACCATGCAGTATTCCTTTCTTCTGTTTGAACAACAGCCTCCTAGTCTATGTACAGGTTCCTCATGATTACAATTAAGTGTTCTGGAATTCCCATTCTTCTTAATGTTATCCACAATTTTCTGTGATCCACGCAATCAAATGCCTTTGCATAGTCAATAAAACACAAGTAAACATCTTTCTGGTATTCTTTGCTTTCAGCCAAGATCCATCTCACATCAGCAATGGTATCTCTCACTCCACGTCCTCTTCTGAATCCAGGTTGCATTTCTGGAAGTTTTCTGTCAATATACTGCTGCAACTGTTTTAGAATTATCTTCAAAATTTTACTTACGTGTGATATTAATGATACTATTCAATAATTTCCACATTCTGTGGGATCACCTTTCTTTGCAATGGCTACAAATGTGGATCTCTTCCAGGTAGCTGTCTTCTGAATTGTTTGGCATAGATGAGTGAGTGCCTCCAGCATGGCATCCGTTGTTGAAACATCTCAGTGGGTATTCCATCAATTCCTGGAGCCTTGTTCTTCACCAATTCCTTCAGTGCAGCTTCAACTTCTTCCTTCAGTACCATTGGTTCTTAATCATATGCTACCTCTTGAAATGGATGAACATCAACCAATTCTTTCTGATAATGTGACTCTATGTGTTCCTGCCATCTTCCTTTGATGTTTCTTGTATCATTCAATATTTATCCCATAGAATATTTCAATATTGCAGCTCAAGACTTGAGTTTTTTCCCTCAGCTCTTTCAGCTTGAGAAATGCCAAGTGTGTTCTTCCCTTTTGGTTTTCTAACTCCAGATCTTTGTACATTTCATTATAATAATTGACTTTGTCTTCTTCAGTTGCTCTTTGAAACCTTCTGTTCAGCTCTTTTATCTTGTCAATTCTTCCATTTGCTAAAAGCTACTTTCCATTCAAGGGCAAATATCAGTGTCTTGTCTGACATCCATTTTGGTCTTTTCTTCCTTTCCTGTCTTTTTAATGACCTTTTGCTTTCTTCATGGATGATGTTCTTGATGTCATCCCATAATATCTCTGGTTTAATAGAGAATAGACAGTACAAAATGGAAATGGATATAGACACCTCTTTCAAGAAGTTTGACTTTGAAAGAGACAGAAGAGATTTGTCAGAAGTTGAAGGGGATGTTGTAGGATCAAAGTAGGTGCATGTGTGTTTGTTCAAATAAGAGAGGCTTGAGAATGTTAAAAAGAGTTCACCAAAAGTTGAGTTGATGTAAGAGAGAGAAGTGTAGTTAATGAAAATCATTGAGTAGACAACAGATGATGGGACTCACAAAGCAGAGATGGAGGAACTGACCTTACTTGTAAGGACAGATCTGTAAATAACAGGGAGATGTTGATAAATTTTTATTCCTGGTAGCAGGAGGATGAGAGAGTTCCCATTGGATAATGACTTTTTCCTTCGAAAGGAGAAAACAAAGTCATCTGCTGATGCAGATGTATGATGGAGCAGAGGCTTACAAGGCAAAGTAAGTTTGAAACAGCTTTGCAGAAACAGTGTTTAGATTAAAGAATGATATTAGGATTGCTGGGCCATGTTATATACCCACTTGAGGTTTATGGTCATGGATTTATATTGTAACTAGTACACCTTTTTGTGTAACTCTCTCTAGTGCTATTTAGCAAGCTGTTTGGGCAAGCCCAGAGAATCTGGATAGTTGGATTCACCCATGTTTGGGAGTTTGCTATAAAATGGAATGAATAATGTTGAGTTAGGAGACATTTTGATTATTGGCATATGTGTTATTGAATTGATAGAGCAGAACATCTGAGCTGAGTAAGAAGGAGAAGGAAGAAAGTTGAAGAGATAGTGGAGAAAATAGCAAGATCAATGGACAGAGTTCTGATGAGGTCAAACAAAGGCTAGAATCAAAGTAGCTGAAAAAGGAATACTAATAGCTACAAACATTTGAGTGCTTATTCTGTGTCAGGTCCTAATCTATACATTTTAAATATATTAGTTCATTCTATCTTTATAATTGACCTTTGAGGGGAGTTCTATTAAAATGGAGGCACTGAGTAGAGAAGTAACATTTAAATCACATAACTCAAGTGGAGGAGATAGGATGGGTATTCAGGTTTTCTGGCTCCAGAGCCCAAACTTTTAACCAGGATGCCTCATAGAAGCCATTTAAAGGTATGCAGGTGTTATGGGTATGGATTGTGCTCAGAGAACAGAGTGTTTGGGGTTATAGATGATGACAAGGACCACAGTATGACCACGGCCACTGACTTGTAGTATAAGAAGGGGTTGTTAGAGATGAGGTTAAGGAACTTTGAGGCTAGAGTATTAGAAAGGGCGTCCACTGAAAGCTAGCATCAGTTAGATTATGGTTGAGCTTGGTTAGGAGACTGCAGACCTAGAAAGTACAGACTGTTGCCATTATTGAATGAATAGAACTTAGCATACACATTGTGCATTATTATTTATAGATTGTTTACAGCCTCCACTAGATTTCTGGTTGCTTGAGATCATTGACTGCATCAATTTGTGTTAAGTTATATTCCTGGCTCCTGTTATACAGCTTAGTATGTGACTTAAATCTTTGGTGAATGAATGAATACATACAAGTATGTATTAACTGAAGGGAAACTCGTTTTGGTGTACTGTCCTTAGCTAACTGATAATTTTCTTTAATTTCTTTATTTGTCTCCCACAGGAAAGCCCATAATAGTGGTGAAGACTCAGATCTAAAGCAAAGGAGGAGGTAAATAAACAAAAATGGAAGGAGGGTGGGAAGAAAGAGGAAGGATTAGTAGTACAACTACTCTTCACATATCAACTATCTCATTATCCTACGTTTTGCATTTACTGCAATAGTAAAAAATCTGTTTTGTACATTAATAATATATGTATGGCAATAACAAATGCCAAGGTGGAGGCGAAAGTAACACTGGTTGGGCTGGTTACGGTTATGTGTCAACTTGACTGGGCCATGATTCTCAGTGGTTTTGGAAGTTTTGTAATGATGTAGTCATCCTCCATTTAGTGATCTGATGTGCTCATCCTCCATTTTTGTATAACACCAATTTTTGCCTAATGACCTCATCTTTGGAACCTAACCATGTCAGTAAGTGTGGGGAGTGGTTGTACTCAGAATTGAAGCAAGAGTCAGGAACATTGTCTTGTTTTTTTAGTGGCTGCTTTAAGAGTATTCTAATTTTTTTTTTTTTTTTCCTGTAAACTTTTTATCAAAAACTGTCTTTGGATTCATTTATTTCTCAGTCTTCTGTACTGTGGTATCCTTAGAGCTTATAGGTTTGCCATGTTCAATTGGAAGTGGTTGCTTTTATGGTCCTTTCTGGGAGCTAGGGAACATTTGCCTTGGTCTGCTTTCACATTTCTCTTGAATTGTTTCCCTGAGCAGTCACTTCATGCAGATGTCTGACTGACTGAGAAGGGTAATAAAGCTATTTATGTTTTGGTCAGTAGTTTTACTGTAAAATTAATTCCAAGGAACTAACATTTCTGAAATTTTTCATTTGTCATAAATGTAGATTTTTCCTTTTGCTCTTCTTACTTTGTCTTCAGGTCACGCTCACGCTGTAACACAAGCAGTGGTAGTGAATCAGAAAACTCTAATAGAGAACACCGGAAAAAGAGAAACAGGTAATATCTGAACATTCTAATTAACTGGGACTCTGAAACCAGAAACTGTCACAGGTGTTGGAAGCTGTGTGTCCTATGTATTTTTAAGCCTGGTTTTCTTATCTGGGTTGAAGGAGGAATCTGGCACTGTTTTGAAGCACTAGTTTAGGAAACCCAGCTCTTTGGTCTGAATTATCTTACAATAAGATGATTAAATACCCTTAAAAAAAATCAGCAATTCTATATTGAGGTACAATGTATAGTGAATTTATCTAAGGATGGCCAAGAATTTTATCATCTGTAGAAGGATTTCCCATGAAGTATTTTTTAACATGATATTACTGTGCTTTGACTAACCAAAACTGAGAGTCTTACAGTTTCATAGAGTCCACAGTTTCAGCCTCATGCATATGGACATGCACACACATGTGTTTATATTCATATCAGGTGTACTGGTTAGATGGGTAAACGCAATATCATATCTGTAAGATTCTTTTAAGAACTTATTAAAAACATCATCTGGCATGGAATTAGTATAAGTGATTACATGTTACTACTTTGCAAATATTTACCATATTTTTTTTCCGTATAACATGCCCACGTAAATAATACACACATGCATGTGCTGTGCAAAAAGCTTATAAAAACTAATGCACAAGGGGGTTTCACGTTTTACAACTGTATAACTCATGCATTATTTGCATAAAAATACACTACTTGAAAAGTATTCATTTGGGTCATTGAAAGTACACCCGTTTGAGAGTCAGAGGACTTGGTGGCCAGTTGTACTTTTTTCTCACCCAAGTTCTTAACTGGAAACAATTTTTTTTTTTTCTGTCCTTCCTGAGGACATTTGGCAATGTCTGGAGACATTTTGGATTGCCACTGTTGTGTGAAGTGGTGTTGGCATATGGTGGGTAGAGGCCAGGGATGCTGCTAAATGTCTAGCAATGCGCAGGGCAGCCTCCTACAACAAATAAGTGTCTGGTCTAAAATGTCAGTAGTGCTATTTTTTATTTATTTATTTTTTCAGTTGTAGGTCTGAAGGTTGACTAGGGGCCATAATCTTGGGAATTTCATTAGTCTCTATCAGACCAGTAAGCTAAAAGTAGTGCTACTTTTGGGAAACTCTGTCCTAACTTAATGTGGAACTGTGGCCTGCTTGCTTTACTTTTCTGAGTCTTCTTTTTCTCTTCTATCAGTTGGATTAGATAATACCCAGGGCTCTTCTTTAGTGCTCCAACTCCTTGTGTATAGCACAGATTGAATCAACCTCCTGTTCTGACTACAAAGCCTGTATAGGAATAGCCCAGACAGCAGTCTAAGACTAGACCATTTTATTAGGAAATTTTTCTATGTGGAGCCTTCTTGAGGACTAGAATCATACTAGATAGTTGTGAGATCTTGATGTGTTATGGCACCTTTCTAAAAAGAAATATTTTCAGTTTCTTAATCTGTAAAAACTAGAGTGTGGGAGGTAGAGGTCTCCAAGGTATTCTCTTCTTGTCTTAAAATTCAGTGTTTCTGCCAAAGCAACACAAAACAAAAACAAAGCAAAATAAAACAACAAGAACAAAAAGTCCTGTTTTTTAAACATTTCTAATTTGAACCTTGTATTTGACTCAGCCCAGCATATTTTTCTTCTTTCTTTTTAAAATAATATTCTGTTGTATTTTCCATGATATTTTACATAGCAATTTAGGTTCTCATTCAACAATTTCTATAGAAATTGTCCAGTCACGTTGGTTATTTTCTTCGCAATGCATGAACTTTCTCATTAATTCTGTTCTGGTTGTTCTGTTTCTACCAGTCTAGTTTTCCTGCCCCTTTGCATGCTTATCTTTGTTTTAAAGTAATTTTTGACTGTTTGTTCTCATGTAAGTGATTTTTTACAGGTACTTATAGGTAATGTGCATTATTTTGTGAGCCAACCTGTTATTTCACCACCTGTTGACCTCAAGGGTTAGTTTTGCTTCAAGGTTTAAAGAGTATCTCAGGGCAATAGTCTCAGGGGGTTCCCCAATCTCAACTAGTCCAGTAAGTCTGGTTTCCTTTAATCAAACCAACATCTTAATTAATTTGTTTGCTTGGTCACATCTAAGTTGTACTCATACATGCTCTGTTTTCAGCCACTCAGAAGGTAGACCATTAAAAGCAATGTCTACTGGGGCCTGGAGTACTCATAGTGGCATCTGCTGTTAAAACACCATTTAAAGGTTATCAACAAATCCTTAAACAGCTCATTGCTAATCTGGTTGTACTGCCTTCAGTATTTCTTGGATTTCTTCCCTCAAGAGTTCCTTTCCCTACATCCAAATGAACAATTCTTTAGACTGCTCTTTTTGAACTGTTCTAGGAAGTATATTTTAGAATGAGGGTGGTTCTGCATGTTTAAATGCTAATGTACTTTGCAAAGCTAGAAATAAGAAATAGTTTTCAAAGCACACTCTTGGATACATTTTATGTAAAGGATCCAAAGAGCTTTCAAAATCATTTTATTTTTTTTCTGTGGAAATATCTCCCTGTTGTTGTTGTGTGTCATCAAGGTAATTCCAACTCAGGCAACCCCATGTGACACAGTAGAACTGATCTATAGGGTTTTCTGGACTACAGTCTTCACAGGAGCAGATTGCCAGGTTTTCTTCCATAGAGCTGCTAGGTTAGTAGTCGAGCACTTAACCATCATGCCACCCGGGCTCCTTAGAAACATTGTCCAAGGATAACATAAAGTGCTTGTGTCTAGAGTCCAGAGGATCTCCCTAGAGGTCTAGGGTCTAGCTCTCAGGAGTGTAGCCTTAAGGAGCAGAGGAAGAAACATGCTTCCCATTCCTATCAATGAACCCCACCCAGTTTTATTGCAGCAGGTGACTGTGTGCAGGGCAATAGAGTGCAAACACACTCCACTGCCTCTGGAAGCCACACACCCACTGTGCTGTGCTGCTGCTCACCCTTCTATGCCACGTTGTTATGTGCCATCGAGTTGGACCCAAGTCATAGTGACCTCTTCTTGGGTTTCCGAGGCAGAATCACTATGGAAATAGATTGCCCAACCTTCCTTCTGAGGAGCGGCTGGTGAGTTTGAACCGCCAGCCTTCTGGTTAGCAGTCAAGTGCCTTAGGCACTACACTACCAGAACTCCTCTTCTATGCCATACTAGCCTTTAAAATTTTTCTAGAAAACATTCATTCCACATTTGGATCCTTTGCTCTGGGCACTTAAACTGCATCCCTCCAATGGTCCCACTACGCCTTTCATATGTGATGAACTGTTATCTCCTAATGTCTGACTTCCTACCTGTGCAAAAGGCACCTTTTTTGGGGAAGGGGATGAATCTTCTCTGTATCTTGGCTGACGTTGTGACCTAGCCAAGCTTTCAGGACTGTCCTTTCTGCTTTTACTTTTACTGAAAGACTCTGGTAACCCATGCTGTTGTTAGTTAATTCTAACTCATAGGGCAAACATAATCTGCTACATGCTGCTGTTTCACTTCCTGACAACAAGGTCTCTAAATTCAGCCCAAGGATGCTTCCTCAGTTATGCAACATGAGCCTGCACTCCAACATACCCTGGTTTCTCTCACGAAAGAGGACACTGTATCCTGGAGAGAGGGCCAGCTACTGGGCTGATTTGCTTTTCTAAAACTATTTTGAAGCCCATGACATGTGTTTGGTGGAACTTTGGACAGAGTCAGTTTTATTCTCTGAAAAATATGTGTAATCTTTGGAATGCTGTTCCCTTTGCCACTTCTTTTTGGATTATCTGTTGTTAACACAAAGGAAGTCTTTCCTGTAAAGTTTGAGGCCACTCTGTGAGGATATTGTTTTTAACAATGTCTATCACCCATTGGCACTTATGCTGCTTTACTGTTTCCATAGCAGTTTAAACACCTCTTATTGTGTGAAGAAAAACAAAAGTTAATGAAACAACATTTAGGAATCTGTTCAAAGCAGTTGCAGTGACTTAAAAAAAAAATCATAAATCATAATCCACACTAACTCTGGAAGGCTAATATTAGAAACAAGGATTGTTTTATTTAGTTTCAATTTCAGACACTTATAACTGTAAATAAGCATCTCCTCTTTCAACTCTGGGTCAAGAGCTAACCAGGCCGGCTGTCTGAGGGCCCTTTGGCTGGTGTCTTTTGACAGCCCTTTCTTAGAACACCAGAAAGCACCCCTCCCCCATTAAGGAGTTCTGCACCTTCTCTTTTATTTGAGTTTATTTCTTCCTTTACCCATTCCGACTTCAGTTATTCTTTCTTTACTGTTTTCATAAACTGTGTGGGTATTCTATAGTTTCCTAGGTTTCAAGGTTCAAGAAGATAATTTTTTTCTTTTATAAGTAGCTAGAAATTGGAGCATAGTTTCTTTTCATAATATCTAAGATCTCAGGAGTGGCAGGATATCCAGGTAAAAAGGGGCAGGAGGCAAGGTTAGTCCCCAAGCTCCCTAGAGCCAGGAGAGGGAGGGACTAGGAGTGGCTGGGGACCACAGAGTGGCAGGTTTCAGATAGGAATTAGGTAAGAAGAGAGTGCAGAGGTTTCCAAGGGAAACAAATTTGTTTGTTAGGGAGATAAACTTGTCTGTCAGTTTGTCATCCTGTGGGGCTTATATGTTGCTGTGAGTCATGAGGCTGTGCCACTGGTGTTTCAGACCCCAACAGAGTTGCACATGGTGCACAGGTTTCAGTGTAGCTTACAGACTAAGGCAGACTAGGAAGAAGGAGGAGGACACCCACTTCTCAAAAATTGGCCAGGGAAAACCTTATGAATAGCAGAGAAACACTTGTCTGATACATTACTGGGCAACTTTATGAATAGCTTAGAAACATTGTCCGACACAGTGTAGGAAGATGAGCCCTTTGGGTTGGAAGGCACTCAAAGTAGGAGTGGGAAAGAGCTGCCTCATTAGAGTGAAACCAGCCTTAATGATATGGATAAAGTCAGTCTTTCGGGACCTCCATGTGCTGACATGCCACACGACTCAAATTGAGGAGAAACAACTACAAATATTCATTAATAA